GAAAGCAATAGATGCAAGCACTGTACGCTACGACAGCAATAATCATAAACCATTACATCACTGTTACATGATTAACGTGTACTTCTTCACCACCAGAATATCTCAAATCGAACAGTGGTATAAAGCCTCCAGTGAGAGCTGAGTGAACAAAACCCGACTTTTCCATCTACACATAACTGTGCCATGGTGCACACCCGATTTTTTAGTGCAGCCAAAACACATAGTCTTTCTTCATTAATTCTATACAAAAAGTTTTACGCTGATAGATTTAACTGATGTAAACTATAACACAGACTTCGGGCCTGTCATGCACGGCAGTATGATCTGTGATCGTATATTTTGTATTAAATGGTAAGCAGTGTATGGACAGATGCCAGTGAAACATGATCACTTACGTATTTTTACAGAAAATTCGCATCGATAATAAGTTAAAAATGATACGACATGAGATTTTCGGAAAATTTACGGAACGTGATCCGGGGTTTTAAAAATTTCGCTACTACCTCCTTTCTTTTCAGCCGCTTTTTACCTATTGCATCTTAACCATCGCTTTTTTTGCCCAACAAGATCATCAAAACTATTCGAAATGTAGGTGCAATAACTATTCCTTTACGTCGGAATGAAATCACACACCTAACGCGATCCTATGAAGCCCTATTGTTCTGTGCTATTGTCCACACTCATCATCCATAATAAAACATTTCTCGCAGAATAAATACAATAGCTAAAACATTTTTCTGTCTTCCATTTGCTGGATTCCTTCTAAGAAATTTCGTGGCGAAGTTCAAAATACAGCTATTTCAACATGAACACTAGTTTCTCCTGGCCTACCTTATCTGTAATTAGTTTCCCTAAGTTTTTTCTCTGGTTGCAGTTATTCGAAAAATCTATCCGAATTCTTCTAAAAGAATTAATCAAATGAAGAGAATTCAAAAGAGGAAGATTTCGCAAAACTACGGCCCAAGTACTGCTGTATCAGGCTTTGCATCGATAGCCCCAGCAAAAGTAATCCCGTGCGTTTTGCGTTAACAGTCCAAACATTTTTAACGATTTAATTATCTGGGGAGTTATTAGAATGGCAAAACGTGGAGGAAGCGAATTACCTGATCATTTGGATGCGCACGGCGCTGCCCCGCTATTTTGACCTCATCAATGCATGCGGTTCCCAGTTTCTGTACCGCAACACGCAGTTTCTGGGCCAAATTCGGAGATGGTAGTGTGGCAATTGCGAGTCGAGAATCATTTGCCAAATCCGAATATCTGTAAAGTTTTGAATTGAAATTTGCAGAAGGCACGCCAGATAGCGAAAGACGAAAATTTTTGATACATTCTGGTCTAATTAACGCCTTGCATCCAGCTATACCATTATGCCAGAAATCCAAACAAGATAACGCCCTCAAACACAGGAAAAAAGATTAGGCCCGTGAAAATTATGAATTTAGTACCTCTCGGAAAGACGAAGCGCCAACGGGCCCAACGAATCGGGCAATGTAAGTGGCATATCAGTAGCAATACGTGATATTTCCTCAAGTGCATTGATCATGCGTGTTTGCGCGTCCGTGAATGTCCCAGTTACACTCTGCAGGGCTGTTGTCTCGTCCGTGACAGCAATCGAACGTGAGATGTTCTCCACAACCCCGTGAATAACACCAGCTTCCGAGGCCATACGGTTTACATTGCGTTGCATCTCGGCCAGCGCATCACGTAACTGATTGGCACTATCATTCACTATCACATGCAATTCATGGGCCTGAAAGAATAAAATACCGCACAGATGTAATACGCTGTACGAAGAATTGATGCAGATATAAGCAGGCGCTCTAAGGGACAACCGCTGCTGCATCGGCTTTTAAGACCTCAAATTGATAGCAGAAGGAAGAAACTGCAAAAAATCGGGAAAAGATGACAAAATTTAATTTAAGCAACACAGAATTTGCTAAAACGCAGGAAGAATTTTGCTGGCGAAGTGCGATATAAAGTTGAAAAAAATAAACCTCAGTGAAGCATCTAATAGTATTTTTGAGCGTATTTTTGCGTATAAAAATGCAAAACTCAATGTCGGAGCGTTGAATCAAACATATGTACGAGTTGTGTATGTATTTCATATATAAATATGAAACTCCGTCAGCTGATAATGTCGAGAGCAAATTTTTACCGTCATTATAACGACCATAGCAACTGATATTAACAGTATGGTTAGTGAGAATTTGTTAAAAATCACTGAGATTATGACTGATCTCAGTGATTTTTAACAAACTCCCACTAACTTAAGAAAATAACCATGAGCAGTGAATTAAGAGAACCAGCTGAGATTGTAGTGCGATAACGCACTATCTGCAAGTTGATCTCTCACTGGGCTCATCAGCTCGAACAATTTCATCGACAGTACTGACAAGACAAAATTTAAACTGAGATCTTTCACTCTGGACATTTTGTCCATTTTATATCTTATATCTTAATAAAACTTCGGAAATTTATGTTTTTTATTGTATAAAACTTTGAAAAATTTTGACCGTCGCGAACCTTCGGATTTCCGCCTGCATCTTTACATCCATAGAGCATTTGCAGTTCCGCTTCAACAACTGTTTTGCACTGCTCAAAGATTGTTGTCTGCGATTTCGTATCGTAGCTTATCGACGCTGCTTGTATTGAGGACTGCACCAGTGGTTCCATTGCTTCCATATGTTCACGTACTGTGTGCCCGAGTTCCTCGCTACGTCCAATTGCTGCTTCACGTAGTGGTTCAATTCTGAGAAAAACGCAAGGTTCACCCGAGAATAATGTGACTGAATTTTTAACTTTTTGCACCAAATTACGCCAAAATGCGCATAACTCAATTAAAGACACGAGAAATAAAATTCGACAAGGGGAGAATGTGCTGCTCACTTTGATGAAAATTCGTAAGTTTTGCTCATGCTCTATTTTACATAAACTATTGATTTATGTGTGAAGACTGACCAACAGCTACATGCACAAATGTAAAAAAGACGGTATTTGTCCAGGTAAATGGCGATTAGAAACAAAAATCCAAGATGAGTAAGCCTGGAATTAGCTAGTTGCTGTTGAAACGTCAAAAGGTTTCACCCGATTTTCTTGACCATCTCGATGCCCTAAACTAAGCCCAGAGGCAGGGTGTTGTAATGGCAATTTTAGATGCTCTGATGCTGAAAGCCAAGGATTCAATGATGCTAGCATACAATCTGTCCATTCTTTTCAGTATCAGTACATGTCAAGTGGTCGTCTTCAGCCTGTTTCTGATCAACTCACCGGAGAGATTGCTATTGGCAGACTTGGTACTGGCTTGGTATCAGCATCTGCCACTGCTCAAATTATCTCTCAATACCTTCGTATTTCACAAACAATGAATTACCGAGGGGATCTGATTCTGTTTTACGACCACACAAGCAAAGGAAACAACGGTTTAGTTCTGCCAGCGAAGGGGTAAACTGATAAAAGTAACCCGTTCAACAGATAAGTTTCCCGTATTAAAAAAATACGTTTTTTGTGTAAATCTTTGGTTAATCCCTTTCAGAAAAATCCTTTTCGGTTTTCTTCTCGATTAATCCTTATCGTTCCACTTTTTCAACCTGTCGAGGAGACAACAATACGTCAGAAAAATTTCTTTGGAATATCCAAGAAGGCAGGCGCCATGTCAAATAAGCGGTATTTAAAATAAGCTGCGGTCATGAGAAGTAAAATCCGGAAAGGGGGAAGTGCTGATTGCACTGTCAAAAATTCATAGATCCTGCGCATAATTCTGAGGGGCTCGGTTATGGAAAAAATTACTCAAATTTGAAAATTTTAAGGTTATGGAAAAGGTTGCAACAAAAAGCAATAATTTTAAAATAAAAACTGAATTGGAATGTTCCGGTCCAAAAATTTTAAAGCAGCGCATATAAATAAATACAGGCGAGTGCTACTGGAACTTGTAGTACTACTCCTCCGGCAATCTTGCAACACTATCAATGATGAATATTTACACTAAATTTGTGAGCAATTAAATACTAGTAGTATACCTGTCGTAGACGGACTGACAAGCATGAAGGATTTGTTGATGGACACGTTGTTCCGTAACAGCACTTCTGGGCAACTGATCCTGGGAAGCGTCCATTGAGGCGCGGTCAATTTGCTGTAGCATTTGCTGTAATTGA